CCTCTACTTCTTGTGTATGTTTGTCACTCTCTTGTGACACGCTTTTTCTGGGGTGCCTTGATTTTGATAGTCGAAGCAGACTTTGAGCTGTTGAAGCTAGAGAGGTGAGTAGAATAGGCCTGATTCTCTGTAAGGACTTCTCTGTTGACATCCACCCCTTGGCGCTCATATGACATTATGCAGTGCGAGCGCCGTAAAATCTCTACTAAAACAAACAAGAGTCCAGTGACATTCTCAGGGTATCTTTGAAGCGCATTTTATGGGCCAGTTTTACTTTTACACTTCTCTTTTTGTAAGGTTAAACAGCTCAGAGTGGAGACAGCTTTTGGGGATTTACAATGTATTCTGCATTTTCTTGCAAGGCTCGCCCAGCTGGTGATATTTAGTCCTTTTGCTAATACAATTGGTCGCTTTTAAGCACAGAGGGGCTACCCGGTATCCCGAAAAATGCTGTATTGAGAAAATCAAAGGTGAAGTTTTTGCCTCTAGTTCAGTTTCTTTAAAAGACAAGGAGAGTTTTCTCAAAAACTAAACAAATTTGCACATTAATGAAACCAAACTTCTCCTATAGGTAGGGCAATGCCCACTTTTGGAGTAGGTCAAAGTTTCTGGAAACCCCCAAAATCTGGGTTAGCCCGCTTGTCCAAAGACCAATTATAAACCTATATTCCCACAAGAGAAAGAAACATTTTATAGCGATGATTCATCTTTGAGTTTGAGCCATGGCATTCCACCAGTCTGGACACACAGTGTGGTGATTATTATTCAAAGCTTGAGTGTCCCTTGGAGCTGCAAATTGTTCTGCAGTAATATCCAAGTAGAAATTATGTACTTCTCAATGATATAAAATGTTTTAAGCCTAGAACTTTAAAAAAAGACCCAAAAAACCCCCAAATTGCCATACAGGCGGAAAAATGTCAGTTTCTTCGATTTCACTATTTTGACGAGTGCCTGATTACTCATTTACCTTGCTTTGATTTGGCACAATTTTGTCAAGTCTGATTTTTTAGGGTCAAATTTGAGTGACCAGATCTCAGTCGTCTCTTAAAATACGAAATATTAATGTGTCAGATGATGCAGAAATATTTTACCTTTGTTTAAATTGGTACGCTGAATGGGTAGGTAGTGCAAGGCTATAACACTATGAAAAAAATACTATGATTGGGGTGATTACATTTTCAACCTTCTTTTGGCCACCACTGTATAAAACAATAAACTTACAAAATATCACAAGAGAACTCCAGGACAAGTTGGCTGTGTTCAACTTTTATTGAAAATAAACGTTCACATATACCGTACACACGTTTCTCCAGTCTTTCTCTTGCAACATGTCAGTGTTTCAATAGTTGAACTAATTATCCACAAATTCAAAATACACTACGTTCATGGACACATGAAGAATGAAATCATGGCTGTAATGTTAAGGAGGTTTAATCAAAATGTTCTCTTCATCCCAGTTCACCATTATACTTGTGCAGTAACTTCACATTTGCCATAAAACTGAGTTTGTCCAGTGGTCAATAGATTGTAAAACAAAATCAAAAGATACCGAACAAAAATATATTTTGTCGTTCTGAAAGCAAGAGATCACAGAGGTAACAGTGATAGAAAAATTTAAATGACAGCATCACCCAGTTAAACTGACGTAACGAGACACCTTGAATCATAGTAAATCTGTCCCCATGGTTTTATGCACCCCGCATAATTTACCAAAATTTGATCATTTTTTGCATAATTTCTGATTATTTTCCATCATCATTCTTTGATAACCCCCAGAATCGCATAATTTCATATTTTTGGGCTCAGTTTGCATAATTTCAGAATTTTCCTTCCATAAAACGATGGGGACAGGTAAACTAAACACACACCACCCCCCCAACCTTTCCCGTATAATAAGAATAAACAAGGATATGAAAGGATCAGACTACACCACAAAGCTCATACAGTCAAGCTGGAGTCTGATCACTTTCTCAAGTTACTGAAATGTTTTAGCAACCTATTTTCAAATTCATTTCTTACTTTTCTTGCCAAATGAATTCAACATTAATTTATTAAAATTTTCAAGAAACAGGTAAGAAACCATTTGACTTTCTTGAACAATGAATGATATTTTAAACCAATGAAATATATATATACAGAGCTAACAAAAAACGCGGGACAAAACTCATAAGTCTCCAACACAATTACGCAAACACTCCTCCCGAGAAACTTCCGTTTTCTTCCTCACATGCACAATTCTCTCCACACCGACCATTGTCATTCACATAGAGGGGAAGAAAATACTCAACCCACCCCTCCCTTCAACTACACCTCTCCATCTCAGCCCCTCACCTCCTCCTCTTTGCCCAATCCAACCCTTCAGCCACAATACACCTACACCCACCCTTCAGTCACCCCCACTATTTCAACCCCCACCCCAGTACGCCACAAATACACCCCATACACCTCCCTAACTTCCTCTTTAAAAAAGAACGAGCCTTAATTAATGCTCATTGTTAATAAGCGCGTAAAACGCAAAAAGGTGCCAGGCTGCTAGTATGCGAAGCTCTTCCCTAAGTAGGTCAATAATAAAGATGGACAATAAAGATCGAAGCCCCACTTCTACCCCCCCCTCTCTCTCTCTCTCTCTCTCTCTCTCTCTCTCTCTCTCTCCCCTGGTTGACCCCGTGGCGAGATGGCGCGGTTGTATAGGCGGCTGGCTGTTTTGTTGTCTTAGCCTAGATCCCGCCGTCAGCGCCCTGGAATGTCCTGCTGTGACCGTCATTGCGGAGTTTTACTACCGTAGCGGGTGGTTGGCGGGTGCTCTGGTGTAGCTCGCTCCTTCTTTCCTATCAGACATCTGTCTTCCTTATCTCGCCTCTTTTTTTTCTTCTTCTTCTTCTTTTTTTTTTTTTTTGGTTTACTTTACCCTGTAGTGATGCTTATGGTATTTAGAACACGTAGAACATGGCCAATTTGTGTTGCAAGTGCCGCAAAATACTTTCAAAAACTAAATTGAGCCACGTGGTCTTTGTGCGTGGCTCAGGCCGGACTCAGGTGGCCTAGTTACTGGACACAATACATCCACAGCACTAAGGACAGGTCGTCAGAATGAACACTATTGTACGGATTGCTTTTTCCTTATGCATTTAATAATCTCTCTCTCTCTCCCTCTCTCTCTCTCTCTCTCTCTCTCTCTCTTCTCTCTCTCTCTCTCTCTCTCTCTCT